ACTAAGATGTCTACTGATAAATAGATAAATATTTTCCCACTTATTTATAACAGGCAGCTGGGTGAATCGGATGTGGGCAGGTCGGGTGATCGGTACGGTGGTGGTGGTGGTACGGTGGTGGGGCAATTACTGGAACTGATTCCCTGTATAGCTCTCTCTGCAGCAGCTGAAAGTTGTCTTCTCCTCTCTCTCCTGCTGGCTTTGAGCTGCTGCAGAGAGAACCATACAGGGGATCGGTTCCAGTGACTGCCCCCCAATGCCTTGGTGTGAATGGAGCCTTGGTGTCACTTTACGTGTGAATGGAGCCTCGGTGTGAATGGAGCCTCGGTGTGAATGGAGCCTTGGTGTGAATGGAGCCTTGGTGTCACTTTACGTGTGAATGGATCCTCAGTGTGAGTGCAGCCTCTGAGTCACTTTACATGTGAATTGAGCCTAGGTGTGAATGGAGCCTTGGTGTGAATGGAGCCTTGGTGTGAATGCAGCCTCTGTGTTACTTTACGTGTGAATGGAGCCTCGGTGTGAATGGAGCTTTGGTGTGAATGGAGCCTTTGTGTGAATGGAGCCTTGGTATCACTTTACGTGTGAATGGATCCTCGCTGTGAATGCAGCCTCTGTGTTACTTTACGTGTGAATGGAGCCTTGTTGTGAATGGAGCCTTGGTGTGAATGGAGCCTTGGTGTGAATGGAGGTTCCTTGTGAATAGAGCCTGGGTGTCACTTTATTTGTGAATGGAGCCTTGGTGTGAATGGAACTTCGGTGTCAATGGGGGCCTTGGTGTCACTTTTGTGTGTGAATGGAGCCTTGGTGTTACTTTACGTGTGAATGGAGCCTCGGTGTGAATGGAGCCTCGGTGTGAATGGGGCCTCCTTGCAACTGAAGCCTTGGTGTGAATGGAGGTTCCTTGTGAATGGAGCCTCAGTGTCACTTTACTTGTGAATGGAGCCTTGGTGTGAATGGAACCTCAGTGTCAATGGAGCCTTGGTGTTACTTTACGTGTGAATGGAGCCTCGGTGTGAATGGAGCCTAGGTGTGAATGGAGCCTCGGTGTGAATGGAGCCGGTGTGAATGGAGCCTCGGTGTGAATGGAGCCTCGGTGTCACTTTACGTGTGAATGGGCCCTTAGCGTTTATCTGAGAAATAAATGAATAATAATATTTTAAACTAATACCTTAACAAATGTTAAAAGTAACCAAAACCCATTCCAGCCCCGACTTGTCCTCCTCCTGACGGATAGCAGCCTTCCATCCTGTGTTTTTTTTTTTGCGAATTAGCTCAAGGCGCCCGCGGTTATTAATCCCTCTGATATTAATAATTAATGCACGGTGCTAATGAATTAGGATTCTGTAATTAAATCAGAATATTGCCATTCATATTTCAGGAGGAAAGGTTACAGAAGTCAAGCTCATTTTCTTTGGGCTGCCAACTGCAACCATTAGCAGGCAGGCTGGGGAAAGTTTAGTGAATAGAACTTTTGTCCCCCCCCAGGACAGGAAGTGTGTTAGTGGCAGGATCACTAGGCGAAAATAAAGGGGAAAAAGTCTGAAAATGAATGCAGCCTCCATATCCAAGCAGTGGTATGCTGAAACAGGGCCGTGGATAAGGGGGTACCACCAGTCCTCATGTATGGGGTCCCAGGCCTGCAGGGGGCCCCAGGCAGCTAGGTGAATCGGATGTGAGCAGGGAGGTTGATTGGCATGGCAGGGGGGCAATCACTGGAACTGATCCCCTGTATGCAGGCCTGCAGTGAGAAACCATGGGGCCCCATACAGCCAATGTGACAGGGCCCCCAAATAAACACTGTTTACTAAGCTTCAGGTATGATTGAACACAGTAAGAGATCGTTACCAATTGCTCATTGTGTTCATTCAGGAAAGGAAGGGGCTGATAAATGTGACATATTTACGGACTCTTCCCCCACTCTTCTTCCTAAGGATCCTATAGTGTGTTTGCAGCTGGGAAGGAGAGGAGAAAAGCCAGCAGCATTGAGGGGGGAGCTTGGGCAGCATGGGGAAATATATGGTGCTTTGGGAGGTGCTGCAAAGAGGATCAGTTCCAGTAATTGCCCCCCTCCCTCCGCTGTGCCAATCACCCTCCCTACCCACATCCAATTCACCCAGCTGCCTGGGCCTCCCTGCTGGTCTGGGCCCCGTACAGGAGGACCAGTGGTACCCCCCCCCTCATCCACAGCCCTGCCTGTATGGCTCTCTCTGCAGCAGCTGAAAGCTGGCTTCTTCTCCTCTCCCTTCTGCTTGCTGCTGCAGAGAAAAAAAACCATACAAGGGATCAGGCCCAGTAATTGTCCCCCCCCCCCCCCCCCCGCTGTACCTATCAGCCTCTTTCTGCACCATTAGTTTCCCCCTGATGCCCAAGTCCCCCCCCCCCCCCCCCCCCCCCGTGTGCCCCCCCCCCCCCACCGTGCCGCCGGCTTCCCTCCTTTCCTTTTCACTGGCAGCTTCAAGTAATCAATAGGATCTGTCAGCAGAGTGGAAGAAGGATCCAGCAAATATGTCACAATTTCCAGCCCCTTTCTTTCCTGAAAAAAACACAATGAGTGATCGTTACTGATCACTTACTGTGTTCAATTATAACTAAAACATTGCAAACTTTTTCTTTTTAGTTTGGCCCTGTCAGGTTGGCTGTATGGGGCCCCATGGTTTGGTGGGCCCTGTCAGGTTAACTGTATGGTATGGGGCCCTGTGGTTTGGAGGGCCCTGTCAGGTTGGCTGTATGTGGCCCCCTGGTTTGGAGGGCCCTGTCAGGTTGGCTGTATGGGGCCCCGTGGTTTGGAGGGCCCTGTCAGGTTGGCTGTATGGGCCCCGTGGTTTGGAGGGCCCTGTCAGGTTGGCTGTATGGGGCACCGTGGTTTGGAGGGCCCTGTCAGGTTGGCTGTATGGGGCCCCATGGTTTGGAGGGCCCTGTCAAGTTGGCTGTATGGGGCCCCACGGTTTGGAGGGCCCTGTCAGGTTGGCTGTATGGGGCTCCGTGGTTTGGAGGGCCCTGTCAGGTTGGCTGTATGGGCCCCGCGTTTTGGAGGGCCCCGTCAGGTTGGCTGTATGGGGTCCCGTGGTTTGGAGGGCCCTGTCAAGTTGGCTGTATGGGGCCCCGCGGTTTGGAGGGCCCTGTCAGGTTGGCTGTATGGGCCCCTTGGTTTGGAGGGCCCTGTCAGGTTGGCTGTATGGGGCCCCATGGTTTCTAACAGACTCTTTTTATCTCCTAATTCTAAATCAATACTTGGCTTTCAATAAGATCAAAAAGTTAAAAAGTAACAAAATGATAATTGCTACCGAATAAAAAAAAAACAAAAAAAAAAAAGCTTTTTTTAGACTTGTGAGTTAAATGTTCAGATTCTGCATACGGACTAGAACAAAGAGAAAGATGTACCCGTCGTCTCCAGGCTGATGTATTATAGATTAAAGTAGGGCTTGTTTTTTTGGGTCTTGCTTATCCAGGTGTCAACTCAATTAATAATTTTTCAGACGAGGAAATGAGTTTCTGTAAAGTCCAACCGAGCTGCAAAATGAAATCAATTCTCTGAGCTCCAATCAATAAAACATTAAACATCTGCTTCGCCGGCAATTCACCAGCTTAGAGCGGGTCGGGGATATCATTTGCGGTTGCCACTTAGGCGCAGTGATGGGACCAGGGGCGGACTGACAACTCATGGGGCCCCCGGGCAATAGAGGATCATGGGGCCCCTGTGTCCTTGCCCAAACTCAAAAAAGCCTATGAAAAAGGTACCAGGGGCACCTCATGGGGCCCCCTACTAACCCCGGGCCCTCAGCAGTGCCCGAGTTTCCAAATGGTCAGTCCGCCCCTGGATGGGAGCGATGTTGTGTGCCAGTTGTGGTATTGAAAACTGGGGCAGCACAGTGGCTAAATGGTCAGCACTTCCACCTGGCAGTCCTAGGGTTGCTGGTTCAAATCCCAATCATGGCACCACCTGCCTGTAGTTTGCATGTTCTCCCTGTGCCTGTGTGGGTACTCCAGCTTCCTCCCACACTCCAAAGACATTCTGGTAGGCTAATTGGCCCTAGTATATGAATGTAAATTAGGGACCAACTGCAGCACCACATTCTCCCTGTGCCTGCATGGGTTTCCTCCAGTTTCCTCCCACATCCTGTCTAAATTGGCCCTAGTATGTGTATGTATGAATGTGAGTTAGGGACCTTAGATTGTACGTCCCTTGAGGGTTAGGGACTGATGTGAATGTACAATATATATGTAAAGCGCTGGGTAAATTGATGGCGCTATATAAGTACCTGAAATAAATAAAAGAAAATAGTTAAAGTGTTACTAAACCCACAACAGTACAATCAGTCTGTATATGCAGTAAAGCATGCTTGTTATACTCACTGTGGAACCTAAGGGGTTAATCCTCCGCACAGGGTGGGCTTAACACATGGGCAGTGCACAGGGACAGCCTGATAATCTTGCTTAATATCATACTTGCCAACTGTCCCGGATTTGCTGGGACAGCCACGCTTTTTACAAAGCTGTCCCAACATGGCTGCATCCCTGGCAGCATCCCTGGCAGCATCCCAGAATCTGGGCTGTGGGCTAAGTCACCGGTCACACTGCTCCAATTTTAAATCGTGCGATTTCTGAAGACTTGTGAAGATTTTCAATGATTTCTTTCAATGTTCAGCGAGATTTCCATTATATTCTATGTATGTGAAATCGCAAACAAAACTGCAGAAAACGCCATGCAAGAACATGTTGAGACACTGACATTCACAGTCATTAGATGTGATATCAGTTTGCAAATTGCATCGGTATGACCGGGCTCTAAATCCACAAATCAGAAAGACATCTTCCCAAACCACTTGTTTAAAATCGATTTTATTGAAGTACTAATAAATAGTGTATATGTTTAATTCCATCAGCTATTTATACTTTAATTCTTGAGAGTAGGTGTGTAAATTGGGGCAGGCTTGTATTGGCCCCAGTGCATTACTTAGCCCAGGGGCCCATGGTGCTATTAAGATGGCCCTGCCTCCACATTGATCCTGTCTTCTATGATCCTCCCCTTCTTCTACTATCCCCAATCCATCTGCTGAAGTACAGAACTCTAGGAGACACTCTAGCAATACACACCAAACTGAGCATGTGCAAAGAGTCTTTTTGGGGAGGATGCATGTGATCGGCACAGGACCAATCAGAGCTGTCCAGACAGAAGGTCAGGGGTCATGCAGCTTCATAGGACAGTCAAAAGAGAATGAAAACTCCTACAAGATTAACCAGTGTTCTGCTGGACACTGATAGAAGTCACAAGATTGCTATATACTGCTGATTAGAAAAGGGATTTAGCAGTTTCTATTTACTTAATAATTGCATTTCCATGTTGTGTGTACTGTGGGAGACCAGATATAGTGAATGCAGAGTCCGAGGATACCAGATATAGTGAATGCAGGGTCCGGGGAGACCGGATATTGTGAATGCAGGGTCCTGGGAGACCGGATATAGTGAATGCAGGGTCCGGGGAGACCAGATAAAGTGAATGCAGGATCCGGAGAGAGCGAATATAGAGAATGCAGGGTCCTGGGAGACCAGATATAGTGAATGCAGGGTCCGGGGAGACAGGATATAGTGAATGCAGGGTCCGGGGAGAGCAGATATAGTGAATGCAGGGTCTGAGGAGACCAGATATAGTGAATGCAGGGTCCGGGGAGAGCGGATATAGTGAATGCAGGGTCCGGGGAGAGCGGATATAGTGAATGCAGGGTCCGGGGAGAGCGGATATAGTGAATGCAGGGTCCGGGGAGAGCGGATTTAGTGAATGCAGGGTCCAGGGAGACCCCACATTCACTCTATCCGCTCTCCCCGGACCCCTCATTCACTCTATCCGGTCTCCCCGGACCCTGAATTCACTATATCTGGTCTCCCTGGACCCTGCATTCACTATATCTGGTCTCCCCGGACCCTGCATTCGCTATAGCCGGTCTCCCCGGACCCTGCATTCACTATATCTGGTCTCCCTGGACCCTGCATTCACTATATCTGGTCTCCCCGGACCCTGCATTCACTATATCTGCTTTCCCACGGACCCTGCATTCACTATATCTGGTCTCCCCGGACCCTGCATTCACTATATGTGGTCTCCCCGGACCCTGCATTCACTATATGTGGTCTCCCCGGACCCCGCATTCACTATATCTGCTTTCCCACGGACCCTGCATTCACTATATCTGGTCTCCCCAGACCCTGCATTCACTATATCTGGTCTCCCCAGACCCCGCATTCACTATATCCGGTCTCCCCGGACCCGCATTCACTATATCTGGTCTCCCCAGACCCCGCATTCACTATATCTGGTCTCCCCGGACCCTGCATTCACTATATCCGGTCTCCCCGGACTCTGCATTCACTATATCCGGTCTCCCCGGACCCTGCATTCACTATATCCGCTCTCCCTGGACCCTGCATGCACTATATCTGGTCTCCCACAGTACACACAACATGGAAATGCAATTATTTTAGTAAATATAAATGGCTAAATCCCTTTTTTCATCAGCAGTATATAGCAGTCTTGTGACTTCTATCAGCGTCCAGCCGAGCACTGGTTAATCTTGCAGGAGGAGTTTACATTCTCCTATGACTGTCCTATGAGGATGCATGACCCCTGACCCTCTGTCTGAACAGTGCTGATTGGCCCTGTGCTGATCACATGCACTCTCGCAAGGAAAAAAACTCTCTAGCAATACACACCAAATTGAGCATGTGCAGAGTGTCCCCACTGCTCTGCTCTAGCTGAAGATATATTGGGGACAGTAGAAGAAGGGGGAGGATCAGAGAAGACAGGAACAAACAGCCTTTTTGCACAGTGCAGAGATTTAACCGATTAGACAAAGGCAGCCTGATTTTACTGTTGTGGGTTTAGTAACACTTTAAAGTGGTTGTAAACCCCAGATGTGAAATATGAACAAAGCATATCCCCATATAGTGTGTATTTGTTCCAATCCAGAGCACTAATTTCTGTCTGCTGCTTCTCTCCTCTGTTATCACTTCTGACATTTTCCTGACACCAAGAGAAAAAAAGGTGACAGGGGAGGCACCCCCCAGCACACAGCCTGTGATTGACAGCCTCATCTTAGTTCCCATGTGCTGTGTGAAGGGTGGGGGGGTGTCTCTTCCCTTCAATCAACTCTCAGCTCTCCTCATTGAGTGTAATTTTAGCTGCCCACCCCCTGCTTTCTGAAAGCTCAGACAAGCTGTACAAATTCAGCACTTTGAACGGATGTAGAGAAGAGAAGACTGCAGAAAAACAGGTACAACCTATGCAGGAGGACTTGTTTCATCTCTGTGTATCACCTGTGAGGCCAGTCACGTCACTGGATACATTGGAGGGTTTACAACCACTTTAACAAAGGGTGTGACGGTCCCTTTATGGGTTCACTTTGTGCCAAGGCAGATCCGGAGATCCATACGTAACATTGGCTTGCTGTGGATCAGTCTGACCCAGGGGCGGACTGACAACTCATGGGGCCCCCCGGGCAATAGGGGATCATGGGGCCCCGTGTCCTCGCCCACACCCAAAAAAGCCTATGAAAAAGCCAATGAAAGGTATCAGGGGCATCTCATGGGGTCCCCTACTGACCCCCGGGCCCTCAGGCAGTGCCCTAGTGCTCGAATGGTCAGTCCGCCCCTGGTCCGACCAGGTCTGAATCCCAGTTCTAGCAACTCAATCTGCACCACGCCATTCACATGAAAGTTGGAGATTTAAAAAAGTTGAAAGAATTGTCAGCTAGGCCAACGTTTAGTTACAGAGGGTTATATAGGATTTGTGATGTACTTACCTCTCCATTCAAAAAGCAGTAAAATACGGATACAAAGAACCCCTGAAAAACAGAATCAACACCAACAAATTATTTCTTCTTCTAAATCTCAGGCATTTCTTGTAGACATCAACAGTCAAGGAAAGTCAAATTCCTGAGAGATAAGAATGGGGGCCATTTACTAGAACCGGAGGGTGCAAAATCTGGTGCAGCTCTGCAGAGAAACCAATCAGCCAGTGGTGTCCCGAGGCAGGTGCAGGGGGTGCGGCCTGCACCGGGTGACACCATCCTGCGGGGATTGTCGGCTTTCTTTACAACTTACCTTTTCGTGGAGTGGGTCTGGTGTCACCCATATAGGTTGCATGCCAACGATCCCCGCAGGATGGATGGGATCTGTGGATTGGGGAGCAAATGGAAAAAACATTTCTGTAGATTCCCCTCCCCCCAAAGTGCATGCCAGATTTTTGGAGTCTGGTATGGATTTTAAGAAGGATTTTCGTGCAAAACAAACAAAAAAAAAAAATCACAAAAACTACAAATACAGACACCAAAACGCTTGACAAAGTCCTTCATTGTAAATCCATCGTTAATCATGAAGTCCTCCCCCCCCCGCCATGACCAATCCCAATACTACTCCTCGCCAAATGACAACTCCCATCTGCTAATTAAAGCGATTCTAAAGGCTTGTTTAAAAAAACAAAACACGTCTATACTTACCTGCGGTGTGCAGTGGTTTTGCACAGAGCAGCCCGGATCCTGCTCTTCATGGGTCCCCCACTGGCGCTCCTGTTGGGTGCCCCCACAGCAAGCAGATTGCTATTGGGGCACCCGCTGCTCTGTGTATTCATTCACACACGGAGCTGCATCTTGGCCTCGCCCCCCTCTCTTCTCATTGGCTCACTGGCTGTGGCTGACAGCAGTGGGAGCCAATGGCTCCTGATTCTGTCTCAGCCAATGAGGAGAGGGAGTCCCAGGATAGCCGAGAATCCAGTGCACATTGCTGGATTAAGAGGGGGCTTAGGCGAGTAATAGGGGGGCTGGGGGGGATGATGCTGCACAGAGAAGTTTTTTTACCTTCATGCATAGGGTAAAAACGTTGAGCCTTATTACATACTTTTGGCAAGTCTAAAAGTCACCATTCATGTTACAATCTGACCATACAATCTTTGTACAATCAACTTTTTTTTAGAGTTACCGAAAATATGTACTATAACGATCTACACAATGGCGTAACTAGAACCTTCAGGGCCACAGTGCAAGAAACCATGAGGGACCCCCCTGACCTTCAGCTGGGTCCCTTCTCTCCGAGCCTGGTGGAGGAACGCCAGGGCCTGGTCGTAAGTGCAACCTTTCTGACCATGGTAGTTTTTTTTTTTCTCATTTTTGTTATTTAATTTTTACCATAATTTTTTAAATTATTTTTTTACAGGGCATAGGGGGGGGAGAGCACAGGGGTCGAAGTTTGTGGAGATGGCAGCAGAAAAATGCTGGGTAGGAGGAGCAGCAGGGGTGGCTGCAGGAATCAGTCTCTCCATATTTCTCTTACAGCCTCCAAATTTCGGCTTCTCCTCCTCTCCCTTCTGCCGGCATTCAGAAGCTGCAGGAGGAACATTCAGAGATTGATTCCTCTATATGCTGCCCCCACCACTCACCCTATCCAGGCGTACAGAGGGCTGCATGGGCCCCCTGTAGCATGGGGTTGGTTCGCGATTGTGATCCCTGCGGACCCTATAGGTACGCCACTAGATCTATATAATATGAGGACCTACCCAATAAATCTGTATCCAGATCAGGCAGGCCCTTTTACTACAACAGTGCCTAGAAGCCTTCATACACCTTGAAATTTCCCCTTGAATGTGTCAACCAAAAACGTAAATTTATTTTACTGGGATTTGATGTGATAGACTGACACAAAGTGACACATAATTGTGAAATGGAAGGAAAATGAGAAATGGTTTTCAAAATATTTTACAAATAAATCTGTGAAAAGTGTGGTGGCATTTGTATTCAGCCCCCCGGAGTCAATACTTTGTAGGACCCCCTTTGGCTGCAATTCCAGCTGCAAGTCTTTTTGGGGATGTCTCTTTGCACATCTAGAGAGGGACATTTCTGCCCATTCTTCTTTGCAGAATCGCTCAAGCTCTGTCAGATTGGATGGAGAGCGTCTGGAAACAGCAATTTTCAGGTCTGGTCACAGATTTTCCATTGGATTTAGGTCTGGACTGTGACTGGGCCATTCTAACACATGAATATGCTTTGATCTGAACCATTCCATTGTAGCTCTGGCTGGATGTCATTGTCCTGCTGGAAGGTGAACCTCCGCTCCGGTCTCAAGTCTTTTCTAGACTCTAACAGGTTTTATTCTAAGATTGCCCCGTATTTGGCTCCATCCATCTTCCCATCAACTTTGACCAGCTTCCCTGTCACTGCTGAAGAAAAGCATTCCCACATCATGATGCTGCCACCACCATGTTTCACGGTGGGGATGGTGTGTTCAGGGTGATGTGCAGTGTTAGTTTTCCACCACACATAGCATTTTGCTTTTAGGCCAAAAAGTTCCATTTTGGTGTCATCTGACCAGAGCCCCTTCTTCCACATGTTTGCTGTGCCCCCCACATGGCTTCTCGCAAACTACAAACGGGACTTCTTATGGCTTTCTTCCAACAATAGCTTTCTTCTTGTCACTCTTCCATAAAGGCCAGATTTGTGGAGTGCACGACTAATAGTTGTCCTGTGGACAGATTCTCCCACCTGATCTCTCTAGCTCCTCCAGAGTTACCATGGGCCTTTTGGCTGCTTCTCTGATGAATGCTCTCCTTGCCCAGCCTGTCAGTTTAGGTGCACGGCCATGTCTTGGTAGGTTAGCAGTTGTGCCATACTCTTTCCAATTTCGGATGATGGATTGAACAGTGCTCTGTGAGATGGTCAAAGCTTGGGATATTTTTTTATAACCTATCCCTGCTTTAAACGTTTCCACAACTTTATCCCTGACCTGTCGTGTGTGTTCCTTGGCCTTCATGATGTTGTTTGTTCACTAATGTTCTCTAACAAAAAACTCTGAGGGCTTCACAGAACAGCTGTATTTATACTGAGATTACATGACACACAGGGGGGCTCTATTTACTAATTAGGTGACTTCTGAAGGTAATTGGTTCCACTAGATTTTAGTTAGGGGTACCAGAGTAAGGGGGGCTGAATACAAATGCCGCTAAACTTTTCAGATATTTGTAAAAAATATTGAAAACCATTTATCATTTTCCTTCCACGTCACAATGTTGTGCCACTTTGTGTTGGTCGATCACATAAAATCCCAATAAAATACATTTGTTTTTGGTTGTAACATGACAAAATGTGGAAAATTTCAAGGGGTATGAATACTTTTTCAAGGCACTGTAGATGTTGGTACTAGCTGATTGTATAGTGTATAGCCAGCTCTTGTGTAGATATATTTATAAAAATATTTTTTTATTTGTATTAAAATTAAATTACATTTTAAAACATTTATT